ATAGATAGATATAGAGGTAGTTAAGACTGAGTTCTGGTGGTGTGCCCACAGGCTTCCCGTGTCCGACTGTATTATCTCCCGTACGAGAATAGAACCTACTTTTAAAGACAACAAGTGTTTGTATATACCCTCAGTAATATAGAACATTCTTTGGGTATCTGGCAATACGCTAGAGTTGTAGCTGATGTTGATGTGTTGATGGGTAGCTAATGTTGATGGTGTATCTGAAGTAGATGCTGTAGCTGTAGCTGATGTTGATGGTGAAGCTAAAGTAGATGGTGTAGCTGTAGCTGATGCTGTAGATGTTGTAGCTGATGTTGATGTGTTGATGGGTAGCTAATGTTGATGGTGTATCTGAAGTAGATGCTGTAGCTGTAGCTGATGTTGATGGTGTAGCTGAAGTAGATGCTATAGCTGAAGTAGATGCTGTAGCTGAAGTAGATGCTGTAGCTGAAGTAGATGCTGTAGCTGAAGTAGATGCTGTAGCTGAAGTAGATGCTGTAGCTGAAGTAGATGCTATAGCTGAAGTAGATGCTGTAGCTGAAGTAGATGCTGTAGCTGAAGTAGATGCTGTAGCTGAAGTAGATGCTGTAGCTGTAGCTGAAGTAGATGCTGTAGCTGAAGTAGATGCTATAGCTGAAGTAGATGCTGTAGCTGAAGTAGGTGCTGTAGCTGAAGTAGATGCTGTAGCTGAAGTAGATGCTGTAGCTGATGCTGTAGCTGAAGTAGATGCTGTAGCTGATGTTGATGGTTTAGGCCTTCGAATAATACATCTTTATGTAGAGGTTATATGAGGTTTTCACATCCCTGTTTAATTTATTACTTCGTTCTGTTAATGGATCCACTTCAGAAAATAAGTTCATCCCTTGCTCCATGTGAGCAAATGCTTCTGCCAAATGCTTAGTCATACACTTGTGAGATGATGTAGGGATATCTGTGGATGTGTTTGTGGTCCGGTCGTGTTGTTCTTGTTCAAGATGTATAAGTTCTTCGTTGGTTAGGTCTTCTCCATGACTGTTTAACAGCTCCTGAACATTCTCTTCATCAACTTCTTCAAATCCTACCATGTGCTTGGCAAGCTCAACAATATTTCTTTGAATGTTTGGCATGGTTTCCTCAATGCCTTTAAGGGTTCTTACACATTCCAGCCACAATTTTCTCCACACACCATTCATGTTGTCGTCTGTTACTTCCTTCCATGACTGTCCAGTGTTTTTAACAGCTTTTAGAATATGATATCCACGCCAAAATTCTTTTATGGACGGCTTTCCAGCATCATCTGTTTCTCCAATCAGTTGAGACATAGCACGGCGTAAATAATAGGCCTTAAATGATGAGATAACGCCTTGGTCCATAGGTTGAAGCATGGACATGGTATTCAGTGGAAGAAAAATGACTGGTACATGTTCAGACAATTCATTTAGGTGAGCTGGATGGCCTGGAGCATTATCTAATATAAGCAGTGCCTTGTGTGTTATGTTTTTCTTGGCACAGTATTCCTTTAACGCTGGACAAAAATGTTTTTTGAACCGATCGACAAAAAGAGTCATTGTCATCCATGCTTTAATGTTTGACTGCCAAATTACTGGTAAAGTTTGCTTACACACACCTTTGAATGCTCTAGGATTCTCAGAGTGATATACAGCGAGAAGTTTGAGTTTAAATTCACCTTCTGCATTACCACCCAAGAGGAGTGTGATACGATCTTTGGCTGCTTTGAATCCTGGGGCAGCCATTCTTCCATGGAAATAAATGTCCGGGAAGGCATTCTCTTCCAATATACCGGTAGTCCAGTTTCATCAACGTTAAAAACGTGACTGGGCAAGTAGCCGCCCCTCTCGATTATTTTGCGTAGTTCTTCTGGATAAGTATTAGCAGCAGATGAATCACTACTTGCTGCCTCACCAGTGACTTTTAAATTATGTAATCCGTGGCGTTGTTTAAACCAAGCAAATCAGCCTCGACTCGCACTGAACTTTTCTGTTTTAGCACTTTCCTTACCTGAATATTTAAGATCATGAAACAATGCTAGGGCTTTTGTTTGAATAATTATAGTGCTCAATGGAGAATGCTTCTGATTTTTGTCTTCAATCCATATTCTTAAAAGTCTCTCCATTTCTTCCATAACCACATTCCTGCTTTGGCAAACTTTATTTGCACTTAACGGAGTTGTAGACAGAGCACTTTCTTTAATTTTTTCTCCATTTCTACGGATAGTTTTCACTGTTGATTCCGCCATCCCCAAAGCACGCAAAATATCTACACCCCTCTCACCTTTTTCATATCGTTTTAACACATCTAGTTTCTCGGCTAAGCTTATACACTTTCTTTTAGCTTTTGAACCAGCACTACCATCACTTGCTCTCTTGCTCATGTTGAATAGAGACTCAAAAATGTCGTAAGAAACCGGAGAAAGTTTTTATCTTCTCCTGTTCCTGTTCAGATGCGTGAAAACAATTGGACCGCCAAGCTCCAACTGTTGTTTACCGGTGATGCGCGTTACCACTCATTAGCCCGGCAGCTTCTTTGCACAAGGCGCTCTCCTTTTTTTCACAGTATTTTTTTTTTATAATACATATCGGGATTTAGTTATTATTTATAGGAAAATTTAATTTAATTTTATTTTTATTAAATTTTGGTTGTGAATATGAATGAAATAAGGACGTAAATTGAATTGGGCCCTAAATTAACTAGGGTCTTAAATATGAAAAGTTGTCGGTCAAACCGTTGTTATCGGAGGCTTTACTGTACCGTGTTCACGCAATGTTAATTCCCAGTAAAATTATACACTGAAATCACTGTTGACGTCTTAACACAACTTAAACGCTGTGTTGTAGGTTGATTGTGAACTATGTACAGCAGTTGTACAGTACTGTACAAAAAACAGGAGCGAGCAACAGATGAACCCTGTAGGGGGATTGGTGACAAAGAATTATGCACTAAGCCTGCCCTGAGGCTAGCCTGGGGTGAGGGGGGGGGGGTCATCTACAAGATGCATCAGCCAATTACAGATGTCCCTTGAGGTCACATGAGAGCATTAGCCAATCATTGCACGCAAGCCTATGACCTAAGTTACCTCGAGCGTCTCAGCCTCCTGCCACCCACCGACAGAGGACTCAGGACTCGGGAGCATGACACAATATTTCGTCATTTTTCTATACTTGCTATAGTACGTACAGCATTTAATGTTTTATATTATCAATGATAAAACGTACACCATAAGTGGTTGATCATATGAGAATATACAGTAAGTATACAGTAATAAATAAATGTTGGAGGTGTGTGTGTATCGCTGTACAGTAGGGAGTGACAGTTTTGCAAAAGTTTTCAAAATCAAGTGGCTTGGGTTGGATTATTTGTCTATCGGCCACGCTGGTTCCGAATATGTTTGAATCTTTAATATCAGTGCATTAGAAGGTTTGTGGATACTTTTCGGTTCGACATAAAAAAAAACAAGAATAATGGTAGACATTCTTTATTATTGGCATGTATGCTTCAATTTATCAGCAGCACACTAGCACAGTTGGCACACTAACATTGGCTGTCCCCACAGTGTCCCCTCAGTCCCAGTGTCCCCACAGTCTAGCACTGGTAGTCCTCTTTCTTAGCCCTCCGCTTGTTTCTCTTCCTGGCCTCCAGCTTGTTCCAGGTGACCTGGTCCTGCTGCCAGGCAGAGCTGGCCACGTCTGCCGCCTCCGTGGTGAGCTTCACTCCTCTTTCCACTGCGGTGGTGGTGCAGGGCAGACCTGGCTCACTGTACGGTTCCTCCAGAAATTGCTCCAGTTCCTGGTCACTGTGCTGGAACAGGATGGGAGGGGAGGAGCTGGCCTTCTGCAGATCAACCAACTCTGACAGCTTGGTGGCTGCCAGATTCAGTTGAGGGTTCCTCACTTTCCTCACTGTCTTTCTCTTGTGCCTTTTTTCCTTCTTCCTCAGCTGCTTGATGATGTTTAGGGCCAACTCCCTCTCACTCTTGTCCATGGAGGCCAGCAGTGAGACCAGCACCACCTCGTGCTGGCCGAAGTAGCCGTTGAACTGGAGGTATGGAGTAAGCAGCTCCACTTCCTCCAGGGTGCAGTACGTCCTCACCCGGTTGATGATGGCGAGGAGGTGGCGTGGGCCCTCCAGTAGCAGATTCCTCTGCCTGATCTCCAGGAAGGAGGGCACGTAGATAAGGATGATGAAGGAGGTCATCCGTCTCTGTGACTCGCTGGGGGAGGTGGTGCTCATGTAGGCCCTCAGCTCCCTGCTCTCCGTGTTTTGCCATCTGGCGTTGGTCATGGCTCCGGCCCGTGCCCTGGCCCATCTCTCCTCAATGTGGCCGGACTCCACCGTCTTGGCCATCTCCAACAGATACCGGGTGTCCCAGCTGAACTCCTCCCAGACGACGGAGGGGATGGCATCCAGGAGAGACCTGAGGTAGGTGTTGGTGACGGCCTCGAATTCAACCACCGGAAGGTCCCACACGTTGCCGGTCAGCTTCCGAGCCTCCTCACCACTCCAGGAGGCGGGACCAGTGGTTGGGCCAGCGTAATGGTTGAATAGATGGCCGAAGAGCTTCTCCAGACTGTGGATCAGGCAGTGGATGTGGAGGAGAGGCCGTCCCAACAGCCTTTCAAACTCGGCGATGAAACCGTGATTATAGCCACTCAGTTTGTTGCAACCGTCGCTAAGGACAACCAGGAGGTCGGTGGTGTCAATACCGCGCTCCTCCAGGAAGGCCAGCAGGCTGGTGGCCAGGTCTACCCCCTTTCCCCCCACCGGGACCAGGTGACCAAGGAACTCCTCACCAGGGAAGCCGATCACTGCACAGTCTTCCCTCTTTTCCATGGCGAATCTCTTGTGGTTCTTCTCACCTACACCAGTCACTATCTTGTTCTCATTGATCCTCTCATCTACCATGAGACCTCTGACCTTGAATCCCCTGAACTTTTCTTTTTTCTGTTCTCGTGACCTCTTCCTGACTCTCTCCACTTTCTTCCAGTTAGTCACTTTAGACTTGTCCTCTTCAGTTATGATGTTGTCTGCAGCTCTGATGGTGTTTGCGATGTGAGCCACTGCATCAATGGATACCTTGAACCTGTCAGCAGTTTCTCCGATCCTGTCCTCGGCTTCTTTCTCCCTTTTCCTTTTATCTGATCTTGCTCTCCTGTCGACCATAGCCTTGAAGTCATTGTCATTGACATCCTTATAATCACTATCTTCTTCCTGAGCACTGTCTTCCACTGCCGACACTTTACACGACATCCTCTCCATCTCCTCCTTACTCTTTGACCTCATCTTCTCAGTTTTCCTCTCTTCCTCAGCCCTTTTCTTTGCCCTCTTCGCTTCCTTCTCCCTCTCTTCTTTCAGCTTGGCAGTCACAATTTTGTCAACGCCATCAATGCAGCCCTCCCTTCCCGGTTTCCTCTGGGCTGCCAGGAAGCTTTTCTCTCGTTCGTGCACTTTGCTGTCGTCTGCCACATCAAACAACTTCTCAGCTATATCCTCGAACCTCATCTTCAGCTTCCCGTTCTTCGTTTTCTTCCTTTTCTGTTTCTGTCCATTTCCCTTCATCATCATCGTCTCCCTCCGCATCCTCCACAGGTCGTGGACTCTCATTTTCACCCTGATTTCAGAGATAGTGGGGACAGTGGCCTTCCTATACACATCCAGTACCTTCTCAGTCACCTTGTTGGTGGCATCCATATAATCAAAAGCATTTGTTCTTCTCCTTAACCTCTCGTTTTCTGCTTCATAAGCCAGGGCACTTCCAACTTCCTTGTTCAGAGGCAACTTGTTAGATGGCAGAGGCATCCGAACCCCGAACACCTTATCGTTACCCTGGCGCAGCTGAGTGTTGCTAATCTTAGGACGACCCATCTTGGTGGCGGCCCTTTGAACTAACTGCAAAACAACACAGAAAAAACAACTTTCAGCACTTCAATATCACCACCTATTGAACAATATTTTATTCAAAAGTACGGACTGAGATTTTGTCCTTAACTGTCCAAGTCAAGCTACTTGGGCTGAATTCGTTGATCAGTCCTGGGACGAATATTACCAACGGCGTGAATAGATTCCGTGGAATAAATTCAGGGCATTCCCGTCCAGGGAGCCTCAACAAACTCTGTAAATATTGCCATTGGCCTGCCATTGGCACATATACGGAGTTTGGTAATGTTCCATGAGCGGGAATGTCCTGAATTCATTCCACGGAATCTATCCACGCCGTTGGTAATATTGGGCCCTGGTTTTCGAAATATACGTATGTGGTGACTTGCAGCAAAAATATCGGCATAATTTGTAGCGCATTGAGTTGTAAAACAATAGCATATTATGAACCAGTGTACACAGTAGTCGAATAATCCAATTCAATAACTTGATTTTAACAGGTTGTGCCACATTGCCAGTCCCTTTATTATTTACAGTTTTTTCGCGTTTTTCATGCCAAACCCAAAAGTATCCACAAACCTTCTAATGCAATGATGTAAAAAACTCAAACATATTCGGAACCAGCGTGGCCGATAGACAAATAATCCAACCCAAGCCACTTGATTTTGAAAACTTTTGCAAAACTGTCACTCCCTACTGTACAGTATTGGTATTAATAACTAGGGCCCTTTTCTCAAAATTTATAAAATACATTAATGAAAATGAATGGAAATTATAAGAAATAACTTATAAATTGCAAAAAAGTTGCATGGTCCATCAATAATTTTATTTTTATCTTTTCATAAATACTGTATACGTATGT